TGAAACCTTCTTAAGAGTGTATATCAATGATACCTTAATTTAAAAAAAAGGCAAGAAGGGGTTGACCCTGTGTGAAACAGATGAGGTTTTTGCAGGGCAAATGACTTTAGAGCTAAGGCTAAACAAAGAGGAAGATTTTTCCAGGTGAGAAAAAGATGTCTGGGAGAGGAACAATGTGGAGAGAAGTAAAGGGGTTGGGAAAAAAATCTAAGTTACAGTACTTGTGTTATGGAGCTGTGAGTTCTCCATTATAGCTAAAATGTGGAAGCCTGGGTCTGAGGAATGATTGTGGGAAGGAAGGGTCATGGATAACTTCAGGATTCAGACCTTTGTTCTGAAGATTTTTTTGTTCTTAGAGGAACGACATGAGCTAGCATGTGTTTTAGAAAGACCTTTTAGAAGCTAATGAGAGGTAGATTTGGGGACACTGAAGTCTATAAGATGAGCCTGATTGTGTCCTTAGCCACTAACCAGGGGTCTGAGATAGGACTTCTTAGTCTTAACCTTTTTATGATGTACTGTGCATACTAACTCTTTATCTGTCATACTTAAAAACTGCATAATCATTTCATGGCTTTCCTTTAAATTTTTTTTAAATTGTGGCAAACATAACAAACTTTACCATCTTAACCATTTTTAGGTGTACAATTCAGTAGTGTTAAGTACATTCATATTGTTGTGCAACCAATCACCAGATCATGGCTTTTAAGTTAATTTAGTTGAATTTTATTAAAAAGAAGTTGAAATCTGTGTAAGTTCACTTTTTTAGATAATAATTACTGATTTAATTTACTGATGTAATTGCAAACTGAGGCAAAGGCTATTTGCTCTACACTTTACATTATATAATGCTCTTTAACATATATGATTTCATTTTATCCTTATAAATATCCTACCGAGTTGGATATTATCTCCATTTATGTATGAGAATGCTGAGACCAAGAGATTAAAAAGACCTGACAAGCTTGGTGTATTTATTTTGGAGAAACACTGTGTCACCCAGATTTCTAGGTTAAGGATTTCATTCATTCAGTAACTTATGCAACACATATTTTTACCTGAGTTCCTACTATATGCCCAGTGTTAGAAGAATGATGTTGAGCAAAATAGACATATTCCCCACATTTATGAATCTCAAGGAGTAGTGGGGGAAACAGGCATTAATCAAGAAATCAGAAAAATAATGATGTAATTATAAACTCTTGTTGAAGAAATACCATACTCTAAGAGCAACTTATATATAATAGGGGTACCAGACCAAGCCTAAGGGTAAGGGAAAGTGTGCCCTAGAAAATAATTTCTGGAGATTTTTCTTCTTCTTCCCCTTTTCAACACCCTCCTCTTCCAAGCCTCATCATTAACCTTCACAGGGAAAGACAATGTATGATACTTTCATTTGAGAGAAACCCAGGACTGATACATATTCTATATGCTTTTGTAAACCTTTCAAAGTGATTCACCTTGACATCTCCATGTGTCTAGTCCTCAGTATCCTTCCATTGACATTACATGATTTGTATGCTGACTCCAACCTTGTGAGGTAGGCAGGCAAGTGTGACTAGCTACATTTTACTGATGAAGAATTCCAGCCTCAGAGAGGTTAGGTAACTTGCCTAAAATCACAAGAGTAGTTAATGATGGGGCTGGGACTTGAATCCTAGATAGTATTATTATTATTTTTTTGAAGCAGAGTTAAGGTTTTATTTATTTATTTATTTAAGATATCATTGATATACACTCTTATGAAAGTTTCACAAGAAAAACAATGTGGTTATTACATTCACCGTTATTATCAAGTCTCCCCTCCCATACCCCATTGCAGTCACTGTCCATCAGTGTAGAAAGATGCCACAGAGTCACTGTCTGTCTTCTCTGAGCTACACTGTCTTCCCTGTGACCCCACACACAGCATGTGCACCAATCATGATACCCCACAATCCCTTTCTCCCTCCCTCCCCACCCATCCTCCCTCCCACACCCCTCCCCTTTGATAACCACTAGTCCCTTCTTGGAGTCTGTGAGCCAGCTGTTATTTTGTTCCTTCAGTTTTGCTCTGTTGTTATACTCCACAAATGAGGGAAATCATTTGGTGTTTGTCTTTCTCTGCCTGACTTATTTCACTGGGCATAATACCCTCTAGCTCCATCCATGTTGTTGCAAATGGTAGGATCTATTTTTTTCTTATTGCTGAGTAATATTCCATTGTGTACATGTACCACATCTTCTTTATCCATTCATATACCGATGGACACAGGTTGCTTCCATATCTTGGCTATTATAAATAGTGCTGCAATAAACATAGGGGTGTATATGTCTTTTTGAATCTGAGAAGTTGTTTTTTTTGGGTAAATTTCTTGCAGAGTTAAGGTCTTATTTGAATATTCTCCAAGGGAGGAGCAGGCTAGAGTCAAGGCTGATAAAGGCAGGTTTACTTAAATAACACAGAAAGGAAGGGAAAACAGAGGGAGGAAAGGGAAGCTCATTGAACTGCTGCTTGGTATTGGTCATTTCCCTTGCTAACTCCTAAAGCCAAGGTCACCTGGTATCCAGTGTCTGCTTGGATCTGCACAGCGTGGGAACTGAGTCTCTTCCACCCCAGGATCTGGGGGAACCGCTGAGGATGGATGGAATGAGATTACGTTATTAAAACCTCCCAAAGGCAAAGAAAAGAGATTTTCAGACAGGGTGCTAAGAAGCATGATCATATAGCTGCAGTCGTCAAGCTCAAATCAGAGCTCTCAGCAGCCCCTCCCTACTTACCTGGACTAGAACAGAGAGAGTGACATTCTTGAAGAAAGGAAGTATGGGCAGCCTCAGACAGGAGGCATGCTTAAGGGTTAGGGTTTGGAGTTTTATAGGGCATTTTGGGTAAGAGTCAGCATAAGGCATAATGTATGCAGGTGACTCATAATTGCTTTGAAGTTTTGTCTGAAGACTACGGTTATTTAGGTGACTGTGTTGGCCTGTATCTCAGCATTCTTTGTCCACATAGGTTTATTTACACTTCCGAGGTCTGTCTCCTGCCCTGGTTACAAAGTTACTTTATTAAGGGGCTCCTTTCTTTGCCTGCTGTAATGGCCACTAATTATTACTTTCTTTCCTCAGTAAGCACATTTTTGCCTTTTATGAATACTTCTCATTGTAGTTCCTTCCTATTTCTCTTTGGCTGTTGACAAAGTGTCTCTGAACCAAAACCTTGATCCAGCGGGACCCAAGCCCCTCCCCAATCCCAGTTCACCAGTGGGAGGAGGAGAAACAGAGCCAGGAGCGGGTGGAATCCCAGGACCACTGAACACCCAGCCCTGGTGATCTGCTATGGAAGTACAAACCTAACATTGCATGGTGCTCTGGAGATTAGTGGGGTTGGAGAGCTAAGATAGGTGGAACATCTGGGGAGACCGAGACTCCAGCTGTCCATGGAGGACAGGGATCCACACCTGGCTGCCCTGGGACAAAGGAAAGGCGGGCTAGATGGTATTATTCTTGTAATATTCATTCTTTAATTTATTTATTCATTCATTAAACATGTGCTAATCATCACCCTCTTGGTGTCATATGAGGTAATCATGAGCCACTGAAAGATTTCAAGCAGGAAAGCAGCCCCGTCCAATTTAGGTTTTAGAGCCCTCTTCTGGGTAAGAGGACAGAAAGTAGTGGTTTTCAAAGTATGGTCTGGTACCAACTACTGGGTCAGAATCTCTGGGGTTGGGGCTCAGAAATCTTGTGATCCATCAGGTTTGGAAATTCTTTTCCCATTCTAATGCGGTAAAGAGAGAGAAGCACTGTCTTAGAGGAGGAGGTGGTAAAACCAGTTAACATGACTAAGGTAGTGGTTCTAGTAATCAGGTGAGAAGTGATCAGATACAAAGACAAGGGGATGCACTTGAGAGTCATTTAGACAGCATGGACAGGATTTCCCACTCTTTTCCTGGGTGGTGACTAGGTTCAAGGAATTGGAGCTCTGGGTCCTCTAGTTCCAGGGCTTGTACATAGCTAGCCATTTATAGCCACATCTTGATTTTGAATGTTATATATTTATTTGTCTTAGCACTTGTTTTGCAATCTTATCTCAAACTGCCTTCAAGCCTTGTATTTTCCCCTAACTTTCATAAAGCCTAGGAGAGAAATAAGGGACATTCACATAAGGCCTTAAAAGTTAAAATATTTACGTTTTGGGGGGCTGGGTACACAGGCAAGGAAAAAGTAGGTTTGATTAGAAAAGCACAGACTAGGGCAGAGAACATGAGGATGCACTACATCTCTCCTTTTATTAAGTCCTAGGAGGCCTCCAGGAAACCTGAAAACAATAATCCTAGTTACCGCAGTCTCCCCAAGGTTATTACCGGGTGTGAGGTTGGACCAGTTCAGGAATTCAGGAAACTGTAAAGAATCCATATCAGCCTCAACAACCTTCTCCCCAAACATCAATATCAACAACTTCAACAATAAAATTCATTAAAATTCGTCTCCCTCCCACCCACAACCACAGGCCTGAAGGCGGCAGACAGGATTATGAAAGAGACTCTGCTACCCCTTCCTTCCCCAACCTGGTTCAGCTTCATCCCGGGCCTGGGTTTCCCAGCGTCTCAGGGAGGCGGGAAGCTGACGCCCCTACCTAGGGGTAGTATGAGGACATCTCCGCTCTCTCCTCACTTTCAGGTAGGACAGGATTAAAATAAACTGAAGAAAAGGTTATGGTTGTTAGTGCGAGGGTAAGACTAACCTGTCTAAAAACCTGATAAGGCCACAGGGGCTAAACCAACTACCTGGTAGGGAAGGAGCTGTGTAATTAAAGAACCAGAAAGCAGGAGCGGCTAGGGCCTAAAAAGGGCATTTGGGGTGGAGCGTGCGAGGCGCTTGGAGGAAGCGCCCTTGAGTGTGACCAATCAGAGATCCGGATGCGGCTCAAGGGCGGGACAGGGGAGTATCTTGGTGAGATTGGATAAAGGCCAGGCACTGGGGCAGGGGGTTGGGCCTGCGCTCAGCTGGGCAGGCGGTTTGGCAATCGCGCGTTGCTTATCGCTGTGGCTGCGGAGGGAGAAGCCGACTGATGCCAACACTCCTCCCCTTCCGCGGAGTTCCTTGAGTTCTGGGTCCGTTCCATCTTGCCCCAAGGTTCGCTCCATCCTCGGTCCTCTAACCACTTGCCCAATTCCCCAAACTCCCGACCTCAACGTCTGCAGAAAGAAATGGTCACAGCCATGAACGTCTCAGACGAAGCAGACCGGCTGTTTCAGCCCTACAACTTCGAGCGGTTCCAGGACTTGAAGCCCTATTTGGAGGAATACTGGTGAGGCCTCGGGAAGGGGATGGGCCGTGCCAGGGGCCTGACCCTGATGACTAGCGGGCTTGGGGGAGGAGGAGACACTGAATGATTTTCTTAAGAGCCAGGGTATTTGGCTGCCCTGTACTGGCTCCGTATTCCCGTTTTCCAAGGCGCAGGTAAGTGTGGCACCCCAGAGAAATTAGATTTGGAAGCAAGCAAGCAAGGCAGAAATAAGAGGATGGGGTGAGGAATGTGGAAAGGCAAAAGAAACCACAGGTAAAGAGCGTCGTGAGAACTGATCTCTGAGGGAGGTCTGAACTGCTCCCACCCACCTTATAGAGGACTCTCCCCTGCCTTTTGTGGCTGTGTGTGCATGCATGAGAGCGTGCATGGTGCTGATGCTCAGGGACAGCCTGCTTTTCACAATTATCACGTTGTTCTCCAAATACTCCATCGTTCCTGGAAGGAAGCAAGGTCAGGGAGCTCTTCCAAGACTACCCCAGGCTCCTTGGCTTTGCCCTAAAGCTCCTGAAAGGTGTTTGTAGGCCGACTTTGTGCTTCGGCTGTTTGCTATGACCCAACCAGGCAGAAGCTATTGCCCTGATCTTCTTACACCACAGACCTGGGTTGGTTCTAGGTGTGGACTAGCAGCTACCAGGAACCCAATCCCAACCTCATCCAGAGAGCAGCAATCGCAGACACCTTGGACATAGACCCTGCCCTGTGCTAGGAACTTTATATACATTAACACTGTCTGGAGGGGAGTGTTGTTCTTCCCTTTACAAAGAAGAAAACTGAAGTTTAGAGAACTAAGTGGATTTTCCAAAATCACACAGTTAGTAAGTGGCAGAGCTGGAACTCTAAACCAGAGCACTCACCTGGAGAGATGAGTAGGCATTCCTCCACCCAGCACCCACCCATGAGCCCATCCCCTGTGCTTTCTGCCTGCCAGGGCAACCTCATTTCCCATAGCTCTGATCTACCTGCTGTTCGTCTTTGTGGGGCAGAACTACATGAAGGCGCGGAAGGGCTTCAGCCTGCAGGGGCCTCTCATCCTGTGGTCCTTCTGCCTCACGGTCTTCAGGTAAGACGCTCCACCAATACCACAACCTGCCTATCCTCATTTTCTCCCTACAAGCTTTCTAGAAATCCCAATTGCACCAACTCCCCAAGTTGCCCCCTAACTGTCTCCCTAACCCATTCTCTCAGCTCTAGCTCCCTGCCCAGCTGCCATCTTCCTCCCATATTACCCTGTTTTCCTTCTTCCCAGGCCTCATACTGGATGTCTCTGCCCTCTCTCATGAGTCCTCAGGTGCTCATGTAGTCTGTGTATTGCTAACAAATTTCCTCAGCCTCTAATATCTCCAGCATGTAACAACTCTTTCCCAAGACCTTTCAATAATTTCCCCAGCACCTCCTTCCCATAGTTCTTTCCCCAAACCCCTATGATATCCCTTGTCCTGCCATGCATCTCCCAGATTCCTTTGCATCCTAAGAACCCTATTACCTAGCTCAATATTCAGTCCTATCTTCCACCACTCTCTGTCCTTCCCCGGCCTTCATCTCTGGATTACTGGTTGGATCTACCAGATTGGCCCCAGAACTCAGAAGCTGTGACCTGTTGCCCTGGAAGGCTGCGAAGGAGGCAGAGCTTGAGACAGTGACCTGACCAGGCTGAGGGGAAAGGGTGCATTGATGCCTGGGGATGATTTTTACACCCTTTTCCTCTGTCCCATTACAGTATCCTGGGGGCTGTGAGGACTTGGGGCCATTTTGGGACCATGCTACTTAGGGCGAGCCTAAAGCAAAGTTTGTGCTTCTCCAGCTTCAGCAACAGTCCCGTAATCAGATTCTGGTCCTGCCTCTTTGTTCTCAGCAAGGTCATTGAACTTGGTGAGTGGCAAAACTTTGTCTCTCTGGTGCCCAGTCAGCTGCTGCTCCCTTTGCCCATCACATGGAGAATCCCTTCCCCACCCCTGGACCCTAACAGCACCTTTCACCCAAGCCCCTATTCAGATCCTCTGCCACAAAAACCCCTCTTCCTACCCTGAGGATTCCTCCCATGATCCCACATCCAGTGTGGAGGGTGGTTCCAACACTGGGTGGTATGCCATCTATGACTCCCCATTTCCCAGGAGACACGGCCTTCATCATCCTGCGGAAGCGGCCACTCATCTTTGTGCACTGGTACCACCACAGCACAGTGCTAGTGTACACAAGCTTTGGATATAAGCACAAGGTGGCTGCAGGTGGCTGGTTCATGACCATGAACTATGGTGTGCATGCCATCATGTACTTCTACTACACTCTGAAGGCTGCCAAAGTGAAGTCTCCCAGGTGGTTACCCATGTTCATCACCAGTCTGCAAATCCTGCAGATGATTATAGGAGCCACTGTCAGCATCCTGATTTATATATGGAGACAGGAACACGGATGCCACACCACAACAGAACACATTTGCTGGTCTTCCATCTTGTATATCACTTATTTCATCCTCTTTGCCAACTTCTTCCACCAAAACTACATAATGCCCAAGATCAAGGTCAAGACCAAGATCCAGTAAAGGGTTGGAGAAAAAGGAGCCCTGGGCTCTCTCCTTCCCAGGGCACTGAGGGACTGAGCTTAGGTTTGGGAAAATGATTAGAATGCCTTCCCTGCATGGTTTCCCCATGGGATGTGTGCCCCAAGGTGGTAGGAAGTTATGACAAGAAGTGTCACCCTGGCATGGGGGTATGATAAAGTATTTCGTGTTTCTGCTTTTAATGTGAAGGCCAAGAGCCTGGGATGGGGGTGGGACTGAGAAGGGCCCCTAGAGCTGAGTTATTTGTATTTCTATCCATAAATCTTCTAACTCTGTTTTTTAAAGATTTCAACAAGGTTTTGGGGACTTTGGGGACCTGGGGCAAAAGGGGGACCTCTGTGATTGGAAAGAGCTGCTGGCAGGGGGATGATCAGCGGGTGAGAAAGAAGCCTAAGAGGGTGTGTGGGAAGATGGCAGGCACATACATACACACTCAATAAGAATCCTAAGCCTAGTAGGCACTTAATAAATGTCTGTTACAGACCAGAATTTTATTGCTGTTGGAGACCCAAGCCCCTCATGCGAACACTGAGAAACAGGTGCAGAAAGGCGGGGTAATTTATCTAACGTCATAGGCTTCCTAGGCAGCGGAATTGACACACCTGCAAGTAATCGTTCAAGAGCGGACCTTCCAGTTATCCTCCAAAGTACCACGAGGCGGCGCGGCAGCACCAGCTTTGGTAAACGCTAGCCGAGTAGCTAGTCCCCAAGCTGCACACACAAATACGCACGCGTGCGCCCCTCTTTTCCAGGAAACCCCCGGCTTCCCCGTCCTGATGTTGGGGCTTAAGGCCGAAGGGGACTGAAACCCTAGAAGTGTCAACCCTCATCTCTTTCCTGTACACCCAGCTTTCCTTTAAATATGCGAGGGGATGAGGGAAGAGGGCTCAACAGCAACTCTGAATCATCAGGCTTTTGACAGTCCGCGCAAGTTTATTTCATTAATGTTTGAAAACCGGGGAGTCTGGAGAAGGCGGGGTGGGCCAAGGTGAGTTGGCCCCCGGGGAACTGGTCCCTGTTTCTAGCCTTAGTCCCAGGGGCGCGGGCTTGTGTAGGACCCAGCCAGCCTCTCAGGGCTGGAAGGGGAAGGCTCTCTCCTGAGCCGGTCGCCCCCCAAGCTGCCCCAGCACCCCTCTCAGACCCCGGGACAGGGGCAAGCTAGTCAGGAAGACCCCAGTCCGAGGAGGCTGTGAATTATCGCCCCCGCCCTTTGGGAAGATCGAAGGGCCGGGGCACTCATACGGGCCGTTCCACAGCGTACTGGCAAGGACTGAGGTTGGCAGCCGGGGGCGGCCCGGGCACGGCGGGGTAGCTGAACGAGGCGTGCTGTTTGGCCTTGAGCCTCAGGCTGGCCAGACTCGAGTTACACGGGTCCCGATATACGTAGGGGGAGGAGGCGGCTGCAGCTGCGGCTGCGGCGGCCGAGGCATAAGGGCAGGACACTGCCCCGGAGGACACTGAGGCCGGAGCTAGCCCAGGGGGGGCCCCGCCCAGGCTTTGCAGGGCCCCAGGCCCCGGCACGGTGCCTGGGGTGGCCGCGGCAGAGGGCACCATGGAGGCGGCGATGGAGCTGGGTGGCGAAAAGACGGGCTGCGAAGCCAGAGGACCCACGTTGACTGAGTTGAAGGCGAACGGAAAGGTCTTGGCAGCGAGCGGTGGGCCGAGCGCCTTGGGTGGCCAATTGCCGTACGAGTAGCCGGGGTACACCTCCTCGTAGGGCGGCACCAGCCCCCCGAGCGGCGCTGCGAAGCCGCCCTTGCACAGCTCCGCCTGCTGGCTGCGCTCGCGCTTTCGCCACTTGGCGCGCCGGTTCTTGAACCACACCTGCGGGCGTGCGAGAAAGGCTGTCAGGGCTCGGAGCGGAGCAGGGGTCCAGGACGGGGTCTGCGCGGCTGGTGGGTGACACACCCAGATGGGGGTTGAAGCCGCAGCCGGAGCCGTGCGGAGGATAAACAGGATAAGGTGGCTCGAGACGCGTATGGGCCGTGGAGCAGCCAGGCGGGGTGAGGGCAGGAGCGCCCGGAGATAGGGAGCTGAGAGCAGGAGCAGTGGGCGAAAGGACTGAGTCAGGGACGACGGTGTTGGGGGAGGGGCAGTAGGACGAGGTCAAGGAGGGATGAAGAAGAGAACAAGTGCCAATGTCAGGCGAGAAAAAACGCGCGACCTGCAGGGATAGCAGCAGAGCGCAGGTTGGTGCAAAGAAGGCCATGTGGGGCAGCGGGCCAGAGCTGGGGAACTCGGGAAGTTGGGTCCGAGAATGGGGCAGGCAGGGTAGAACCACAAGCTGTTGGCTCCGGGAGCTCCTAGCTGAGAGGTCCGCGAAAGGGAGACCCGGGGGCGTGGGGTGAGGGTTGTGGTGGGCCTCGGAAGGTCGTACCCGCACACGGGCCTCGGTGAGGTTGGTCCACACGGCAATCTCTTCGCGCGTACTCATGTCGGGGTAGCGGTTCCTCTGGAAGGTGGCCTCCAGCTCCTGCAGCTGCTGGCTGGTGAAGTGAGTGCGCTGTCGCCGCTGCTTCTTCTTCAGCGAGCAGTCTTCGGGGGAGCCACCCGGCAGCGAAGCCGAGGCCTTCTCTGAGTCTGGGGGCCAGGTGGCGGAAGGTCACAGGGAGCCCAAGCCCGTGTTGCTTTTCTCCCTCCGGGACCTCCTCCACCCAGCCCCCACGCCTACTGGGGCTTCTACTAGGTCTCATCCCCATTAGGGATTGAGCTGTTATCTTCCCCACCCCCAGAGGGGGCGCGCTCACCGCTGTGCTCTTGGCCTTTGCAGGTGTGTTCTGGGAGTGGCGGGTGAGGGGTGCCTGCATCTGACAGCGAGAGGGCTGGGCTCCGGGCCTCCGCCTCGCTGAGCAAGCCGAACTCCATGGAGGGAGCACTCTGGAGGGAAGAGAAGACACCGAGCCGGTTGATGGGGATAAAATCTCCGGGTTCTCCGATTCCCAGTAGTGTTTTCCACAGATTCACTGTTCTTTCTCAGCCACCAATATAAAGCTTCCCTTGTGTAGGGTGCCCTAGTGTAGACAGGGGAAACAGCAGCCCAAAAGGAAAAAGGTGTATATTCCGAGGTTTTATGCAGATGTACACACTAGCTTTGTTTTTTGTTCACTGCTGGGTACCTGGAACTGTGCCTGATGCAGTTAGTATTCAACAGATATTTATTGAATTAATGAAAAACACACCATCACAAGCCACATACCATACACTACATCCTCAAAAACTTCAACATCCTCTCACATGAATGCCTAATATCCTTATAAACTCATACATGCCCATCACACTTGAGACACACTGTTCACTCTCCAGTAGGAAAGATTTGATTTGGAACCAGCCCTGCTATTTTTTCCATAAGGATAATCACAGTTGTCATTTATGAATACTAACTATGTACCTTCACTTCATTATCTCTCCCCTCACAAGAATGTATCAATATTAAGTATTAGCACCCTTTTGTCAGGTGAGGAAACTGAGATTTGAAATAAAAATTAAGGTCACAGAGCTTGCGAGTAGTGGAACTAGGATCTGAACTAGGTCTGGGAGACTCCTAAGCCAATCTTTCTCTGTTTGCTTTTTCAAGTTGTGTTCTTTGGGGCCCTACCCAGAAACCCCCTCAGGGACTGGAACTCAGGGCCAGCCTCAGAGCTAGACTAGAACTCTAGCTCACCTCACTTGTGTCTGCTTCAGTTAGGGCAACTCTGCTTTTGTCTTTTGTTTATGCTGTCTGGAGACATTTCATTTGAAGAAAAGGTTCCAGGATCAAAAGTAAGTTTGAAAACCACTAGGTATTCTGGCCCTGTCTGCTTCTATGGCCTGCTCAGTCACATATTGCATCCCACCAGTTTCACTCTCATGCACTGCCTCCAGCAGGCCTACCCTAGGCAGAAGATGTGGGCTTCTTAAAACCACCTTCCTACGCTTAATCCCTATCCCAAACCTTGCCTGGCATTACCTGGAAGTTTGCCTGCATCCTTTTCCAAGCCTCCCCTGCAGGATCCCCTTTCCTGCTGCCTCTCCCAGGCCCTTTCTTATAGGAGGAAGGGAAAGGGACACCAGTGGAGCTCAGAACTCTGCTACCTTTTGGTCAGAGGAAAACCAAAGGAGTTGAGAGACAGAGGAAAAGGAGTAAAGAGCCAGTGGTAGTGGCCCATCTGCTTCCCCATTAATCGGGACTTAATGCAGGCTGTGCAAGGTGGCATTAATATGGCAGATTAGCCTAGATTGAGATGTCTGTCACTTGGCTGCTCTGAATGTATTAGGAGCCTTTCTCAGGGAGGCACAGATGGACAACGGCCTGTATTTGCACATGATAATGCCCCCTTCAACCAGCTCAGAGATGACAGCTCCCACCCCTATACCCCCCACACCCATACACGTCTCAAGTGAGAATGGGGGTGGGACAGAGATCAAGGCAGGAGGTTGAGAAACAGTCCCTGTTCTTTCCACAGGCAGAGAGGACTAGACCTTGGACCTTTCCCTGGGGTTGGAGAGGCAGGGTTGGAGGGAACCCAGGAAAGACGGAGAGAAGTCAGGGCAGGGATGGAGGTGCTCAGTTTACCCCCGCTTCCAGGTCTGAGGTCAAGAACCAGAGGCTTAGGTCTGGCCCAATGATGCTGCAATAGAAGGGAGATGCCCTTGGGAGTGACCTGTGGCACTCAGGACTAGGCGCTCTTCCCAAATAGTTAGGAAGGCTTAGAATTGAGAGCTGGAAAAGGGGTGCTTTGAAGCCCCTTACTTCATATTCAAGATGCTCTCAAAATGCAAACCATGCCCCTGGCTTCTCCAGAGACCATGGGAACAAGACAGAGCTGGAGAAAGAGGGACAGTTGAGTTTGCCTGTAGGGAAAGCTAAATCCCACCATTGCCATTCATCCTTCCAGTCTGCTTTGGTTCCAGACTTACAATTTTCCAAACTCCCCTTACCCCAGCATTCCATACCTGTGTCTTGGTTTCACTCTTTATTTCAGCAGAGGGAGGCGAACTGAGAAGATAAGGGCCAGAGTAAAAGACGAGGCTGAGAAAGCAGAGTTCAGGCTGTGTGTTCTTAGAGACAGACAGACACACGGGACCCCGCTCAGACAAAATAAGAATTTGGACTTGGAGCTAGAGGCATACAAACACATACTCTCCCACACATGCGCTTCCACATTCAGGCAGACAGATACACACCATCACACAGTCTCCTCCCTCTGTGACAGGGACAGCTGTCTTGGCTGTTTTGGAGCTAGCCATTCACCCCTCCCCCATCTCCTGGCCCCTCTGAACCTCAGCTCTCAGTCCCAGAAACTAAGGACTCTGTTGGGGGTTGAGGGGAGGCCAAAGTGGTCTGTTCTCAGTGGCTGCTGGGGAGAACCTATTTGGCTGGGTGGAGAGAAGGCATAAGAATGCTGGAGGAAGATGAAGACAGGGTGGGGGGCAGAAACTGCCCAGACCCCTCTTAGGAAAGTAATCTGGTATAGCCCACAGAAACTAGATTTGGAGGCAAAAAGATCTGGGTTCATGCCCTGGCTCCACAAATCACTACCTGTGTGTTCTTGGCAAGTGATTTTACCTCTGTGAGCATATTTTTTCCATCTCTAAAAGGAAGATCATAATCCCTTCCCTGCCTTCAGTATTGTTATATGGTTAAAATAAAACAACTATGTAAATGATTTCACTCATGTGGAGTATAAGAACAAAGAAAAAACTGAAGGAACAAAACAGCAGTAGAATCACAGAACCCAAGAATGGACTAACAGTTACCAAAGGGAAAGGGACTGGGGAGGATGGGTGGGAAGGGAGGGA